TCCAGCCCATCCTTCACTGCGAGCGGCGCGGCACGAGCCGCCCCAGCGACGCAGGGGCAGGGGGTGCAGCTTCTCGCGGAGACGCGGGGTCGGCACTGGCGGGTGGGGGAGTTGGAGGATTGCATCGCGTGGCCCGATGACATGGGGCCAGCGCTCCTTGAGTTTAGCCCTGCTGAGTTTCGCGCGGCCCTGCGCTCTTTCAAGCCCGCCAGCGGCGCAGGTTTTGACCAGATCAGCCCGCGGCAGCTGGGCGAGCTGGACGACGAAGCACTCGAGTGCTTCAGGCAGCTCATCTTGCTGATCGAAGCCGCCTTCGAGTGGCCGCGGACATGGGCGAATGTCGTGTTTCTAATGATGCGCGCTGGGGGATTGCGCCCCATCGCGCTGCTCCACGTGCGTTCCCGCGTCCAAGGACGCATTCGCCGCTCACTGCTCCAGAGGTGGCAGCAGGAGAACTTCCGTGAGTTCTGGTGGTCGACGTCGGGGAGGGGGTCGGACCGTCTCGCGCGGATCCAAGCTGCCACCTCGGAGTGGGCCGTATCCCGAGTAGACCTGCAGAAGGCCTTCGAGAATATTCAGCATGGCGTGCTGCTGGAGGCAGCGCGTCGAACCAGCTTTCCCCTGCGTCAATTGAGGCTCTTGATAGCCCTCTATAGGACGCCGCGCGTGCTCGAGTACGCTGGCGCGTGCTCCAGCCCGATCAGCACCCAACAGGCGGTGCTTGCCGGTTGCCAGTTCGCCACGCTTTGTTTGCAGCTAGTAGTTCTTGCGCCGCTGGGTAGAGTCTAAGCAGCTTTCCCTAGGCAGACCGAGCGCGAGGTGCAGCTCGGCGTCGTCGTAGACGACTTTGGCCTGCATAAAGTTGGCTCGGAGCAGCGCGCGCAGCAGTGTCTTGCAGATGCAACCCAGCTCCTACACAAGGGGCTGGCCAAGGTGCATCTTCAAGTGAGCAAGCCCAAGAGCAGAGTTCTCGCCTTTTCCCTCGGTCTGCCCCTACGCTCTCGTCGAGTTCTGCCCGTCCAGTCTGAGAGAAATCTTGGGATTGACTACGCTGGTGGAGGTGTAATTCGCAGGGCCACCAAGCGCGACAGGCGCCAGGCGGCCACAGCTAGGCAAAAGAAGATTGCGTCCTTCAGCAGTCAGTTGCGTAAGCGCCAGGCTCACCACATGATTCGAGCAGCCGTGCTGGCCTCCACCTCCTATGGGTCGGGGGCGATGGGCACCTCGGAATCTGAACTGCGCGAGGCGCGATTTTTACAGGCTAACGTGCAGCCCCAAAGGTTGTCTGGACGCAGCGTCACGCTTCTCCTGCATCTCACTGGCGTCAGGAGAATCGACCCCGCTTACTCTCTGTGTGCTGCCCTACTCCTGCACTTTGCCATGGCGGTCTGGGAGTCTTGGGCCCCACGAGGGGTCATCGTTGCTGGTCTCGAGGGGGCCAAGCAAGCTTTGCAGTCTCACGGCTCTCCTTGGCAGACTATCCGGGTGCCCCTCACTAGTTGCATCGCCTCCGCGCGCAGGCTAGACATTAGCATCGAAGGTTTCAGCTGGTCTCATCCTGCTGTTGGTTCTTTCTCGCCTGCCGAGCTTTGCCCGGGGCCGTCGCGCGGCTGCTGCGCCAGATCATCGAGACTTGGTGCTGGAAGCGAGTCGCAGCGCACCTCGAGTGCTCCGATTTTGAGCGGGGCCCGATGCTGGCTCCTGTCGTCGCTGGCATGCAGCAGCTTGCGGCCCATGAGAGGGGGTATGTCGTGTCGGTCGTCTCTGGGGGTCAGTGGCCGCAAGCTAAGCAAGCCTCTCGCGGTCTTTCCAGTCTTAGCCAGTGCCAAGTACGCCATGATGTCGTGGGCACTTTGGCCCACAGGCACTTGGCCTGCCCGGGGCACGAGGAAGTTTTTCGAGCCGAGACGCCAGCCGTCGCAGCCGACGTGCTTCGGTCTCTCCACAACCCCCTCGTCCTCCTCTTCGCTAAGCGGCTGCTGGCGCCGATGCCTGCTCTTCCTCCTCCTCCCGCCTTTATCCCTGAAGAGCTTTGGCTCAAGGGCGATCCGTTTCCTCGACGGCAGCCTGTTGGACGGAGAGCTGCCTCCTCAGGCGCAGAGCCTCGGGTGGGCCGCTGTGGCCATGCATGAAACGCGTGATGTCCCCACCTGCATCCTTGCTGGTGGGCTTGCGCCTGGTCTCTGTGGCATCGATGTTGTGGAACTTTGGGCCTTCTACCGTGCCCGGCGTGCAGCCATGCCCCCAGTAAGTTTTTGGACTGATTCGGCCTTTGTATTCGACGGCGCATACAAGCGAGGTCGGCCCTATTGTGTCTCGGCCAAGGCGGCCTGGGCAGATCTCTGGCAGCGCGTGTGGGAAGCCATCGACGATCGTGGCGGTCTCCAGCTCCTCGCGCTTCGTAAGATCAAAGCCCACGCGACGGCTGCTGACATCGAGCGTGGGCGTGTCACGCGGCGTCAGCAGGAAGGCAACCGCATCGCAGACAAGACGTCTAAGGAGGCCGCCGCATTCACTCGTGCTCCTGAGAAGTTTAGGGCGAGCTTCTGTCAGCAAGCGAAAGTTCTCAGGTTTCTTACTTGTTGGCTTGGAAGAATCGGCTGCAAGATGGCCGACGCGGACTGCTTGCATGTGCCTCCTGGCTCTCGCCAGGCAGCTAAGCCTCCCTGTGCCAGTGCGCAGTGTGTGGTGGAGCCCCCGCCGCCCACCAACACGCCTCGTGCTCTGTCTGAGGCCGACCTCACGCACGCGAGGGTCGTGACCGCGGGCGGCCAGCCCCATGTCATTCACCCGTTCCAGGTCGCTGATGGGCGCTGGTGCGTAGTATGCGCAGTCTGCGGCCTTGGAGGCCTCAAGATCTCTGCCAAGCTGTCCCTAGACTGCCACGGGCCGCCGACGGCTGGCTCGCATGGTGCGCGTGTGCTCTCGAATCTCGGGCGGGAGCCTGCGCGCTACAATTTCAATCATGTGTGGTGCTACCTTCGGCAGCCCTTTCGAACTTCAGACATAATTCGTGCTGGCGACATCTCGTCAGCTCGGCTTGCGGCCCACCCTGCGGGGGCATCCCAGCGCGCTGGGGATGCTGGCGCCGTCGCGGAGGTTGGTGGTGTCGTCCTGTCGTCGAGCTCGTCGGTGAGCGGGGGAGGAGGAAGCACGTCTGCTGGTGGCTTGCGCCACGCTGTCGGAGTGGAGTCCCCTCCCAGCTCGGCCGCGTCGGCTGGGCTAAGCACGGCACTCTCGGCCCACCTCACGGGGGCCTCCCAGCTGGAGGCTGGGGAGGCTGGCGCCGCCGTCGAGGATGGAGGAGGCGTCGTCTCGCCGTCGTGCAGCGGGAGTCGGAGGAGCGCTATCTCGGGGCCCGCCTGCCTCGAGGCCCGCCGCAGCGTGTTCCCTCCCTCGCCCAGGCTCGCGGTCTCGGCCTCCGCCCGCAGCTTGGGCTTCCTTTGCGGCCAGCTGGGCGAAGACTGGCGCGAGGCGGTCCGAGGCTGCGGACTGCTGCGGGGGGAGTCGCCCAAAGCGCGACGCTCCTCGGGACCAGATCGGTTTTTGGAGGGGGGGGTCCCTGTCGCTGGCCCCTGCCAGGGTTCGTCAAGCCCTGGTCGGGTGACAAAAAGGTCTCTCTCCGATGGGCCCCCCCTCCTGTTTTGCTGTCAGGACTGAGGGACCTCGCCTCCCTTGCTCCTTAGATCCGTGCGCAGGAGGAGGAGGAGGAGGAGGAGGAGGAGGAGGAGGAGCAGGAGGAGGAGGAGGAAAGGGAGGCGAGGAGAGTAGGAGGAGCGGAAACGCAGGGCGGTGTCTCCTCAAAACGAGGACCCAACACCACAGGATGGTTGGGAACACTTGCTGCTGCTTTCTGCCCCTGTCTGCTGGTATACTAGGTGTCCTCTATGATCTTGTGTTATGATCTCTGCTGTTCCTTGCCGCTCCGTGTCGCTCTCTGGCCGCCGGGGGCTCTCCTGGGGCTTTTTTGGGCGTCCCGCGACCTCACTGGGCCTCCTTCGGCCTCCTGGCGCTGATGCTGCTGGCTCCTGAGTTCCTTCTGAACGCAGCCGTATTCGGCCTCATGGTGCACCTTGGCTCTGAGAACCAACGCGCGTCTCCCCGAAAACCGCCGTTTTCTTTTGGAGGTCCCACGAGTTGTGGCCAGAGCGGGCCGGTCCGTGCAACACCCCAGGTTGGGAGGTCGGGCTCCCTTTGGGAGGCCCAGGCGCGACGCCTACTACATCGCGCTGACCTTTGCGTCCTGCAAAGGACGTGCGTCTCCACGAGAACAGGCGTTCTACTCGAAAGGTCCATACAATCTGGGCGCAAACATACCCGTGCAACATCCTCGGTCGGGCTCACATTGGCAGTCCCGAGTGCGACGCATGCTGCATCGCAGTGATCATGGGGCTCTGAAAAAAAGAGACGCGTTCCCTGGTCCCGAGAGCAGGCATTCTACCCGAGATGTCTTACCAATCTGGGCCTAAACGGGCCATTACAACACCCCAGGTCGACCCGTCTTTGGGAAGCCCCAGTGCGATGCATGCTACATCTCGGTGTTCATGGGGCTCTGAACAGAGACACGCGCCTTTGCGAGAACAGGTGAGCTACTTGGGAGGTCCACCCAATCTGGGTGCGAACGGGCCCGTGCAACTCCCCTGGTCGAGTCGATCTCTCCTTGGAAGGCCTCAGATGTCTGCTACCGTCGTGTGACTGCGTCTGGGTAAGCGTGGGAGGGGCGTGTCGGAGTCTGAGTGAATCGCAATTGAGAGTGGCTAGGCATGAGCGAATCTGTCGAGATTGCTGATGGGTGGTGAGACGAGGGATAAGCCGGGCGGGGGAGTGAGCGAGGTGAGTGGGACAGGATCATCGCGCCGCGCCGGTGATTGGGCGTCTTGAAGCTCCCGCGCCTTGAAGCACGCCCCTCTTGGAAGCCTTGGATCCCTCCCAAGCGGCCCCGTGCCTTCCTAGAAAGCCAGACCTCCGCACCCCACCCCCTTCCTGTGCGACGCCAGAAGGCGCCGGCCACCGAGCCCGAGTGCAGGGACGCCGCCCCCGGTGACCGCTGCCACGAGGTCGTGGCGTGGTCCCTCTCGCAGGGCCTCGAGGCGCACCCGGACTACTTCCCGTCGTTCTACCGCTCGATTTCCGAGGAGTACAATTTCAAGCAGATTCAGGAGATCCTCCACAGCCGCGGCACGGGCGGGTGCAGCAAGCCCTGCAACATGGACGTGGTCCCGCCGCCGGCCGCCGAGGTCCAGGCACCGACCGACGCTGCGGTCACGCAGGATGCTGCCGTCGCCGAGGACCAGGCGCCGCCCGACGCAGGTGCCCAGGAGGTGGCCCTCGCCAAGGACCAGGATCGGCTACGCGTCAGGGTGACCCTTCGCCGAAGTAACCTATGGTGCCGGGGCCTTGATGGGGTTCCCCAGCACTGGCCTGCGCGCTTGATTTGGCAGGCCCAGAGGCCCTCCGAAAGCCGCGCACCAACGGCCATTCTTGCACAGGGTCACTCTGGCGAGTAGCGGACAGGAGCAGGATGAAGAGGTCAACGGGACCGAGACGACGTTGGAGCCGATGTCGTCGAAATCTCTGAGCGAGATGTCTCCGGAGGAGCTCCAGACTTACATGAACAACCCGGACGAGCTGGACAAGTACGCGTATTACGTCAAGCACACGAGCCGGAGGAAGAGGAGGGAGGACGCCCTGAAGCGCGAGCAGAAGCAGTGAGGTGAAGCCCCTGAGGCGGCAGCAGGTTTTGGCGAGGGCCGATGCGAGGGTGGCCAGGAATGTCATCCCATTGATCGGCAGAGCGCGCAAGAGGGTTGTACGGCGGGGGGGGGCTCTCTAACAGTGCGGGGTGCCTTTTGGGAGGGCGTCTTGTGAGGCAGGTACGATTGCCGAGACCAAGATCTTTGGATACTGTTCTTTTTCGGTCGCGATCGGTCTCGACTGAACGGCACTTCAAATCGGTCGCGACGGGTCGCGACCGATTCCAAAATCGGCCGCGACCGGTCGCGACCGATTTTGAAGGAAGTCGGTCGCGACCGATCCCAGTGTTTGAAGCAGAATCGGTAGCGGCCGATCTCGTTGGTCGCGACCAGAAAGTTCTGGCATCCCATGAGCGGAGGGTGGAGTAGGCTTTTGATGGCCCGGGGGCTCAGCAAAGGGTCCCCGGAGGTTGAAGACAACCAAACGATCCCCGTCGAATTTTCTGCCACGGCGCGAAGGGGCCCCAGGGCCGTTCCGCACCCGGGCCGATCTAGTCCGCGGCCAGCCCAAACACCCAGCCTATCCGCCGCCTGCCCCTCGCGTAGAAGAGGCGCAACCCTTCAGCGCGAATGCCGCGCAGCTTCCTTTTGCATCTTACCTGCATCTTGCGCTTTCGTTCGTAGGTCCCAGAATCTCTGTGGTGACGGACCGTGCGGTGACCTCGAAATCCCAAGAGACCTCGCCGCGCGAAACGACCCGAGTCCGAAAACCGTGCGGTGACCCCGAAGCCCCACCGACTCACCACGCGGTGTGGTCACCACACAATTTGGGGGCTCCCGATTCGTGGACCAGGAGGGCAAACAAACGGCATAATCGTGCAGCCAGGACGCCGCTGTTCTTCGGGTCCGTCCGTGGTTGCTCCTCCAGTGTTATCTTGTCATAGGAGGAAGATGTGCCGATACCACTGCTGGTCCTGGGGAGCTCTCGTTACCACGGGTGGATTCTCCACGGAATGGTGGCCAGTCCGTGCCTGGCACTTTTTTGTGTCCCCACCTCGTGCACCCAGACGGCCAAACATCGAAGAGCGAAAACGGCATGGCATAAATCTTCTCTGATCTCCGCGCGGATTTCTTGGATCGGCGTTGGGCAGCCCGCGCGGCGTCTCCAGCGCTGTCCCTGGCGCGCTCCTGGCGCCAGGACTGGTGGTCCAGTGCTGATCAGAGAAATTTACGCGGACCTCCCATTGCGGGGCCACAGAGAGGCTCCGTTCCTTGCTTAGCGATCCTGGCTGTTTACTCTCGGAGGCCAGCGCGGCTGCCTTACTGCCGTTTGTCCTACATCTAGTCGTCTTTGTCCTGTGCCCGTCGCGGGCTCGGTGCGGATTCGGCGCGCACTCGACGTGTATTCGATGGGGACCCGGCATGGACTCGACGCGGATGCGACAAGTTCGACACGGTCTCGACGCGAATTCGACGTGTGCTGCGCCGCGATGGGACATGCGAGAATGCCCCGAATGCGCATTACATCACGAGGCTGCCCCGCGCCGGACCTTCGGAACCTCCGAGACCTCTGCTGCCGGCCAGGGCGCGGCGCCTCGCCGCGCGAGGCCTCGGGAGGTGCACGCTTGCGTGCCTTGCCATTATTAGGATCACCGGGGCGACGCCCTGATGCCTCGGGCTTCTTTTGAGCAGAGCTAGAATGCTCCTCTTCCTCCTCCCAGTCCTCCTCTCCCTCCCTCCTCAGTCCTCCACTTCCGTGCTCCTCCCCATCCGTAGCTATTTTGGCTCAAGATTCTGAGGACCCCTGAGGGCCCAGTAGATACCGCTGGTCCGCGGCCAAATTTTGCGTTTCGCCTGGCCCCCCCCCCCAGACCGAGCGCTGCGTGGTCCGCCCCAAGCTGCGCACCATCTCCTGCCACGACTAGGCTGCGCGCTGGTCGGTGGCACAACCTGGCATCATCGAACCAACGTCCCGTCACCAGCAACAGCGCACGGCGTGGGCGCAGTCATTGCCTTACAGGTGGTGTGCGAGGCGTAGTGGAGCGAAATGGTGGAAGCCAGCATTGGACAAGAACATCAAATTATCCGAGTGAGACCCTACCTAGGAGTTGGAGCCCCTAGGAAAGCAGCATTGGTAGTAACAGTAAATATAAGCTAACGCTAAGCTAAAGCTAAGCGAAAGCTAAGGTACAGCTAAGCTACAGCTAAAGCTAAGCTAACGCTACGCTAAAGCTAAACTGAAGCTAAACTAAAGCTAAGCTGAGGCTAAGCTAAAGCTAAGCTAAAGCTAAGATAAAGCTAAGATAAAGCTAATATAACGCTGATTTAAAGCTAAACTAAAGCTAAGCTAAAGCTTAGCTAAATTTAAGCTAAAACTAAGCTAACGCTAAGCTAAAACCAAGCTAAAGCTAAGCTGAAGCTAAGCTAAAGCTAAGCTAAAGCTAAGCTACAGCTAAAGCTAAAGCTAAAGCTAAAGCTAAGCTAAAGCTAAAGTTAAAGCTAAAGCTCCCAGGGGACTGGGGGAACCGCTCCCAGGGGACTGGGGGAACCGCCCGGGGCGGGTTGCATTGCCCGGCCCCTTTAAGCTACAGAGTAAGAACCCTTCTAGGCAGGGCCTAGGTAGGGACATATATTTTTGTTGCGACTAGAGCTATGCCTTCCTCAGCCTCAAACCACCGAGGTACGCGTCCGAGCCCATCATGGCAAAGCAAACGTAACATGGTTGGTGCCAAGTCTTCACGACAGGAGGCGTTGGAGCAGAATCTCGCTGAGCAACGGGTGCAGTTTGACTCGAAGGGCGACGACACGATGGAGGTCGACGCTGCAGCTGGGGCGAACGGTCAAAACGATCAGTGCAAGTCGGAACCCGCGGAAACCGAGATCATGCTTCGAGTGGTGCCGAAAGGACCCCGCCAACCAGTGAGGGTTTTTAGTTATCTCCCCAACAGGGGTTAAGTGTTCTTCGGCGACCTTGTTGAAGGACCGGAATCCCACCAATAGCGGAAGATAATTTCTCATCAGCGGCACCCGCCGCGCAACACCAACAACGACGACCGCGAGATGAAGGAGGAGATTATGAGCAACGCTTTCGGCGGAAAGCATGGTCGGTCTATATTGTAATCCTGTTACAGGCGTGCTAAGCATATCTTTGTCGTGCAGGGCCCCCCAGAGAACAACCACCCTTGGAAGAAAAAACAACATTTTCTTGCCCGCCCAGCAATCGAGGAAATTAATCTCCGCCACGACGACGACGACGACTATGCTTTCGATTACGATTACGACAACAACCGCGACTACAATCACGACTACTTTTACGACTACAATCGCAACTGTAAGCGCGATCGCAATCACGATTGCAACCACGACTACGATCACGACTACAAGCGCACCCGCAGTTTCCTAGTGCAATCCGCATAAGAAGATGCTCTCACATCCTGGCGCGTGTAGGGTCGACCACAATGGATTATTCCCTGGGACAGAGAGCCACCCCCCCCAACATTGTCCATCCTGCCCGGCAATCGAAGGAAAACGACATCCGTCGCGACGACGACGACGACGACTACGACTAAGATTCCGATTGCAACTACAGTCGTGACTACGCGACTACGCTGACGATTACCTTCGCGACCGTATACACGATGAGAGGAGAGGAAAAGGAGGAGGAGGAGGAGCAGGAGGAGGAGGAGCAGGAGCAGGAGCAGGAGGAGGAGGATCATCGTAAAGAGGAGGAGGAGGAAGACAAGGAGGAGGAGGAGGATATGCGGGAGGAGAAGAAGGGGGGAATTTGAGGAGGAGAAGCAGGAGTAGGAGGAGGAGGGACCAGTTTTATGTTCTGCCCGAAAACAGGGGGGTAGCAAAGCGACGACCGGTCGAAGGTACGGAGTTCGCAAGACACAGAAGGTGCTTTTCGAGAGGCACAGAGACGTGTGCAAGGCCAATATGCGTACGTTTCTGCCCTTCGGGTGGATGGCACACGACGTCGTCAACCAAAGGAAGCAACGTGATATCGACTAGCAGAAGCACGCCGTCGGCGATACCACCGCCGTGTTGGCCGAGGCAGAATCGAGTTTGGTGACGGTGCTCGAGCAGATCGCTTACGAAACGCAAACAAGTTTCGAAACGCAAGCAAGCTTTCGGAGCGCAGCCTAAAGTGGGCGCTCGTACTGACGATCGGGAGCACTGGTTGTTTGGTCGAGCAGTTCGGCACCTTGTTCAAATCCAGGGGGCTGCGACAGCAGGAAGCAAGTGTCTTGTCGAATCGGTTCAAGGCAGTTACGCAGACCCTGTCGGAAGCGGGGTTGAAGGTGCAACCGCCGCCCACTGGTCCAGACGCTGTCTGTCGTCAACGCGCAGGTGCAGCAGCAGCACCAGCACGCTTGCCTCCTTATGCCCACTGGGCAAGGGGATGCTGGAGTGCTGCGGAAGTCCTGGAGTCCTCGTCACCACAAGTTCCGGAAGACGGGTCCGCGTTGCGAGCGGCAGAGAAGCGATTCAGTGACGATCGGTTGGCCGAAAAAGGCCAGGCAAGCACATGCGATGGTGGGATTGGTGGATGGCAATTGTTGTTATTTCCGCGATGATGGAGAAGGCCGAGGTTGGATAATTTGGGTTGGCTTGGGGCGTGGATAGAGGCGTTTACGACGCCGCTGGGAGGAATCTCGTCAGGCGCAGCAGCCCTGGCACCCAAGTGAGTGTCGATTACAGCAACGGGGCAAAGAGTCCATGTCTTCCACCGCTTTGCGGCCACGCGCGCGCGATGAAGCTGCTCGCGGCGTCGTCGCGTACTTTATGTATGTTTACGGTAGAGAGGGCATGACAACACAGAGTATCAAACTATTTGCCACCCGTACATTTCATGCGCAAGATCGGCAGCCTTAGGTCTGCCATGGTTTGCCAGAAGGCGATTCCACTTTGCCCCGTTCGCAGATCAGCGATCAGGATTGGTTGTTTTCGATCGGCGACATCAGTCTGGCGAGCAGGCCCAGGGCGCGCCTTCCTGAACCGACCATTTTCTCGGGTCGCCGAGGCGCTGAATGGGGGCCCGCGTCAAGACCGAGCGTCGGGGAGGAGGGGGCGGCCCCGATATTCGTTCGGTCAGTGGGGCGAGACCTCAACGGCGGACCCACATTGCCGCGGAAAATCAACGAGCCGAAAGTGCCCCATCAGGCGTCGAGCGCGGGCGCGCTCGCTGTCCACGCTCGCGGGGCCCAGCGAGCCGCGCCGACGGGGGCAAGTCGCGGGGGGGGGGCCAGCGCGTGGCTCGCCGTGCTCGGCGGCGCGTAGCTTGAGCGGGCAGGTCGGCACGACGTCGCCCGCGCTTGTCTAGGCGAGGGCATAGCCAACGCATCCCGGAGAGCACGTTCAAGGGGGGCGGCGAAGGGCGGAGGGTCGGTGGAGGGATCGCGGAAGGATCGGCGAAGGGCGGGCGGCGTGGATTGCGCTTTGAGGGGCGTGGAGGGATCGGCCAACCACGTCGGGGGAGTCGACGCGCCGCGCGCCTTCCTGGGCGAGATCCGAAAAAGGTGGGCTGGCCGGCGGGGCCAATGCAAGAGGGCGCGGCGCCGCGTCGCAAGTCCGAAGCGCCGCGGCTGCGGCGCTGCGCCCAGGATTCAAGGTCGCACGCGCTTCGCCGAGCGCCCGGTCGCAAGTCCCCGGGGCCGCGGCTCCGGCGCCGCGCCCCTGGCTCACAGTCGCCCGCGTCTTGCCCGAAGCTGAGAGCGGTTTAGTGGAGCAGGCGGCGCCGTCAGCTCGCGCGGCCAGGGGTGCGTCTTCCCCAGATGAGAGCGGGGCAGCAGCGAGCTGCTCGGTCACGTCGACGGGGGCGTCGACCGCTCGCGCGGCTTGGGCGCGTTCCCCGGGGGCGAGCGGAGCGGGCGTGCGCGGCGCAGCCAGGGGGTCGTCTGCGTCTAGAGCGACGTCGTCAGCTCGCGCGGCCCCGGGCGCGCGTTCCCCGTGGGCGAGCGGGGCTCCGTCGAGCGGTGCGACGGCTCCGATGGCGGCGTCGATAGCTCGCGCGGCCTCGGGCGCGCATTCCCCAGGGGCGAGCAAAGCACAGTTGAACCGAGCTGCTCTTCGTCGTCCTGCTTCAGCGGCGCCATTCTCAGATCGCGCGGCTTGGGGCGTTGGTTCTCCAGGGGCGAGCGACGCGGCCTGGGGCGGCATTTTGATTGCCAAATTTCCAATGGCAGGAGCGATGACAGGGCGGCGCCCGTCAAGCCGCGCGACCATTCGCCTCCGCGTTGCGCGCGTCGGGCTGCGGAGTGGAGAGCGGCAGCCGACGAGGCCCCAGCGGGCGCGGCGGATTCTGCGCAGGAGCTTTTCGCGACAGGAAAGGGCGAGGGCTTGGCCGCGCTGCAGACGCCGCCTGCCCGCGCAGAAGGTAGCCGCGGCGACTGCGGCCCATTGCAAGCTGAATCAGAGAAGGTTCATTTTGTTTTGTTTCCAGGCATGCCTTCTCAATTGGCTTGGCGACCCCGGGCTTGGCGGCCGAGCTGGGGACTTCCATCGCCGGGGCGCAGCTCGCCCAGGGCGCGCGGCACCTCATCCCCCCGTCTTCGCGGGGGCCAGGATGTAACGGGGGCGCCCGGCCTCGGGGCGCCGCCCGAGCAAGCGGGCGGCGGGCTCGAGATGTGAAAGAAAAAGAATAAGAAGAAGAATAATAATAATAATAAGAAGAAGAAGAAGAAGAAGAAGAAGAAGCGCCCGAGCTGGCGGGCGGCGGGCTCAAGAAGCGGGCGGCGCGGCGCGGTGTGGCCATCGCTGCCCGGCGACGCGGACAGGCGGGGGCAGCTGCGGCAGTTGCGCGGCGCTGATCTTCGACGTTATATTGTTTCTATTGCAGAACGCTCAGGACGAGGGCAAGTTCGAGTTTTTCCCGCGCACTGCTGCAGCTGCCCGACGCAGCGCTCGATGCGTCGACGGCTCTGTTCAACCGGCGAGAGCAGCTGCTGCGCTGACCGCGGGAGCAGCTGTTCATCCAGCTCTGCATGCTGCGAAATGCCAGTGGGGGCTCGAAGCCGATAGCTCTGCTGAGCGCGTTGCCGAGGATATGGGGGCGCGCGAGGCGACCCATGACTGCTGGGCGGGAATCGAAACTTTCACGTTCGTCTTTCTGGGGGCGAGGCTCCGGGCGAACGTCGAGTCATTTCGCATCCCGTTTCAATCTGGAGGCGGGGGCAGCGCGCGCTAGAACCAGCATCGCGTCGTCACAGTCTGCACCGCCATGACCCAATGTGATGGCGCGGCCCTGCGGCCGCCGATTATGCAAGGGGCTCGAAGCTTGAGCTACCCTCTGCGCCCCATGTTGCCGGTCCTTCAGACGCACACGGTGCCCCGCACGGTGCGCGCGGGCGCGAACGTGAGCAGCAAGTTCATATCGTATCAAGGCAAACTGACCGACTGCGCGCCCGCTACCACGGCCTTCCACGTGGTGATGTACAGACCGATGGACAGCGGGCTCATGAACGACAATTCTAGGGCGCGCCCTCGCGTGCCCATGGGCGAAATCGCTACGCAGTGGCGCCGTCCTGGCCCGAAACGGGCGCAGTCCCTCAACGTGTTTGCGTTTGTCAGTAACTTCGGCGGCGACGCATTGGAGCGAGGATCGGCGTTGCAAAGGAACATGTCGGGACATATCGCTGCGCCGATCCGGGCTCGGAGGTGTTTTTCGCCAGTGTAAAATGCATGAAGCTGACGCTTACGCGGCGCAGACGTAGTCGAATATCATTGCACGGTGCACGCCCGCGACGCGCGCAGGAGAAGGGACTGATGAAGCTTCTGATGCAAAAGTGGGGAGGCATGGCAATTGAGGGTTACGTTGTGCGAAAGAGTGGGAGCGAGGCGGCGCGCGGGGCCGCCGCCCTCGGCCGGTCGCAGCACGACTGCGAGCAGCGCCGCGGGCGCCACGCTCAAACACGTGCGCGCATGCGTTGGTGGCATGAGCGGCGCTGCCTGGGATTCCGCATCCTCGCTCCATCATTCTGTTCAACGCGGTGATTGTACGGGCCTCAGATTGCTGAGGCATCACGGCGGGTGCCACCGACCCTGGACGGGGCGACCCTCATGCGCCGCCACCGCCACCGGTGCCGTAAATGATAAGAGCAGGAAGAATACGACAAATGGTAGTAGTAGTAGTAGTAGTAGTAGTAGTAGTAGTAGTAGTAGTAGTCGTAGTCGTAGTCGTAGTCGTAGTCGTAGTCGTAGTCGTAGTCGTAGTCGTAGTAGTAGTAGTAGTAGTAGTAGTAGTAGTAGTAGTAGTAGTAGTAGTAGTAGTAGTAGTAGTAGTAGTAGTAGTCGTAGTCGCAGTCGTAGTCGTATGAGGCTCACCTTGAGCCTTGAGCCCCTCAGGGCCTCGAGAGCGGCCTCCAGGTGCCGCCCTCGGGCCCTATGGGCCCTCGCGGGCCCTCGGACCCCGGGTGGGCCCCCCCGCGCCTCCCCCGCGCCTCTGAGGAGAGGGGGGAGGGGGGCCTTTCTCCTTGAGCCACGCGGCAGCGCGGGGCAAGCAGCCGTCGCCACCGGGGCCGTCGTCGCCGGCCCGCACTCCGCCGCCTGTGCGCCCATGCCGCTCCTCACGTGCCCCTCTCCTCGAGCAGGGCACCACTCCGCGGCACAGGCGCCCCGGCACGTCCTCCGCGACGTGCCGCTCCACAAAATTGAAGTCGATGAATTCCTTGAAGTCGCCGAACTCGGCGCCATGCAGTCGCTCATAGCTCCCGGCGCTGCCGGGCGTCGACGGCGCAGCAAAATGCCGCGCTCCTGCCATCTCGGCGCCACGGCCGCTGGGCCTCTCGCCCAGATGGCCTCCAGCACCTCGCGCCGCGGCCGCTAGGCCTCTCGCCCGGCGGGCCTCCAGCGCCTCGCACCTCGGCGCCACGGCCGCTAGGCCTCGCGCCCAGCCGGCCTTCAGCGCCTCGCGCCTCGGCGCCACGGCCGCTAGGCCTCGCGCCCAGCCGGCCTCCAGCGCCTCGCGCCTCAGCGCCACGGCCGCCAGGCCTCGCGCCCAGCCGGCCTCCAGCGCCTCGCGGCGCCCTCACCGGGCCGGCGACGGAGGCACCACCTCGCCGATCCCGTCCTTGAAGGGCGACGCCGCCTCGAACAGCTGCTCGAACCACTCCTTCTGCTCGAGCACCGTCTCCTCGGACAGCTCCTGCAGGCTGGCCCCGCGCTCCACGTTGCCCAAGCTGGCAGTCGTGAAGTTGCAGCTGCCCAGCACAATCTCGCGCTCTGTCATCATCACCTTGGCGTGCAGCCGCGATCCCTTGTGAGCGCGCACCTCGCACCCACAGGCTCGGAGCCGCTGCAGGCGCGGCCCCTGGTTGTTGGTCAGGGCCTTGTCACGGCCGCTGAACACCAAACGGACTGTGAGGCCTCGAGCTCGAGCCGCCTCCAGGTAGTTCACCACGCCCGGCTGGTCGAAGGTGAAGCACGCCACATACACATAGCTCTCGGCCTCACCGCAAGCCCGCGCCCAAGCCGCCAGCGTCTCCGACGCCGAGAGGAACTCGGTCACGGCTCCGCGCCGGGAGGTCGCCCCCAGCTGCGCCTTCAGCTGCTGGACCTCCTCGCGCAGGCGCACGACCTCGGCCTCCGAGTCGCGGAGCTCCCGCACGGCCCCCGCGAGGCCAAGGGAGTCGCTCGGCGCCAGGGCTGCGCGTCGCTGAGGTCCAGCGGCAGCTCCCTCCTTGCGGCCGGCCGCGAGCGCCAGCTCCACCAGCTCGCTGAAGTTGCCGTCCACCGCGCAGCACCAGGCCGCCCCGATGTGCTTGCAGGGGCTGCCGACGCCGCCGACGAAGTCCGCACAGGTGCACGATGCGGGGAGCAACGCTGCGGCCAAGCGTCCAGCGCGAAGCCGCACATCGTACCGCACGCCGCGGCTGCCGGCCACCTCAACCTCGAACTCGCACAGGTCGCCCGCGTCCTTCACTGCTGAGCTGCGCGCAGCCTCTACCAGCTTTGCGGACACCACCGCACCGCAAGCGGCCAGGTCGCGCGCGCGCGCGGCGCGCTGGCGGTCCGAGTGCTCCAGGTCCCGCAGCGCCACCGCCGCGCTCCGCTGGATCTGGAGGACCTCCGCTCGGGGGCGTGCCGCCGCTCCGAGCAGGGGCGTCTCGAACTCCGCCTCGCGCCACAGCGCCACCACAGGGCTGGCGGCGCCATCTGCTGCTGAGAGGGCCCCGCTCGGGCTCCTCCCAGCGGCTGCCGCTCTGGCCATCGGCTCGCGGCCGAAGGCGGGCCCGTCGCCGGCCTCGCAGGCTCGCGCGCTGGACGTGAGTCCGCGCTGAGCCGCCTCGCCGGCGGTGGCAGCCCGCTCCAGCGCCGCCCGCTGCGAACGGCAAGCCACCCACGAGCGCAGGCAGTAGAGAGCGTAGCAGCACTGCACGACGACCAGGACGCGCACCACCAGGACCGCCCCCTCGCACACCTCGTGGATGAGCCCGCTGAGGTTCCAGGAGACGCTCTGGACCAGGTCGCCACCCGCCTCGAAGATGTCCTGAGTCAGCTGCACGCCCGCGCGCAGCCCTTCATCCACCAAGGACGCCGTGCGCACCGCGGCAGCCACCACCAGCATGCGGAGGCCGTTCGCCAAGGCAACGCCGCCGCCCTCCATAGCCGCCGCTCCCGTGGCCGACTGCGCCACGCACAGCCCCACGAGCACGCCCTTGGCGTGGTCGTAGCTCTGGCTGGCCTTGCGGGTCCCCGCGAACCCGGCTGCTGCCAGCGAGTCGCCCAGCGGGCGAGAGGCAGCTGGGGGGGGGGATGCCGCCGCCAGCATTTCCTCGTACTCTCGGTCGGTGTAGGCGCGACCGTTCAGCCACTGCCCCGTCCTGACCCAGAAGTCGTCGATGTAGTTCTTCCAAACCGATCCGTAGCGTCCGCGGCCGGTGCCAGTGAACAGCTCGTCGGTGCAGAACTGGAAGTCGAAGGGCCCCGTCGCTGGCCCCAGCTGCAGCACCTCGGGGAGGTAGCAGCCGCAGTCCGCCAGCACAGCCAGGACCTCCTTCGCGTGCTCAGTGTTGACCAGGAGATTGAAGCCGCGAGCGCCGTCCATGCCAGAGATGAAGGCGCAGCCCACCAGCTCGCCCTTGACGTCTCGGCACCGGCGGATGTAGTACACGAACATCACCATCCTGCGGTTGACCATGCGGTAGTCCACGACGGTCCGACGCCTCCGGCCGCTCGCGTGCTCCTTGGTCGGAAAGGCCCAGCTGCCCCAGGGCGAGGTCCCCCTGGAGTACAGCCCTTGCTCCACGCCCGCTTCGAGCTCCTCGCGGACGATGGAAGCCTCCGGGCCCTTAAGGCGGATCGGCGGCCCACGCACAGGCAAGCCGGTCGTCACCACGTCGTGCTTGAAGCCGCGCATGACCGTCCGCGCGGTGCCCTTCACCCAGAACGCCTCGGCCTTCAGGCTGATCATCTCCTTCAGCGCCTCCAGCTCCTGGCTGCCCAGGTGCTTGTAGCCCGCGCACTCGCCGACGAGCCCGACCGCCTCCAGAACCTTAGCCTTGTACTCTGCCGAGCGCCTCGGCGAAACCTTCACCTCGGCAAACCTGAAGCACTTGCCGGGCATCCGCACCTGGTCCCAGTCACCCTTCTTGGCCAGCTCGGCCCACTTCTTCTTCGCCGCCGCCGCTGCCGGCTCCCGCCGTGCCTTCTTCTCCGCCATCTCAGCGTCGCTCAGCTTGTCCACCGACCTCGTCACCCCAGCAGCCGGAGCGGCCGCGCGTCCCGGCTCGCAGGGCATGCGAGGCCCCTCCGGCGCCCGCGCGGCTCCGATCATGGAGCTCCCGGCGTCGCCGCCCAGCTCCGCGGAGGCGACCTCGACGCCTTCGAGGCCGCGCCCTAGCGGCCGCAGCGCTCCACGGCGGCACTGGACGTCCAGCAAGTCCAGCGGGAAGTTGCCCACGATGACGTACGGCTTCTGCATGGCCAGGGGCTCCTCGTCCGGGCTCCTGCAGTGGAACATGCAGCCGTCGGGGAGCACGTATCGCCAGCGCCCGCGCGGCGCTTCGGCTGACCCGAACCGCTGCTGCCACTCCGCGCTTGCCACCAGCGCGTGCGCTCGAGGGCCTTCGAAGGAGGCCAGGCAGCCCGCGCCGTCGAGGTGCTCGAGGCCGTCCATGGTGAAGGAGGCCAGCGCGTGCGCGTTGGCGTCGGGCTGGTGGCCACCGAGGCTGCTCCACTTCGCACAGGGGAGCGCCCAGTGGGCTCCTGCCGGCCTCAGCACCTCGAAGAGCAGGTAGCGAAGCCGGGCACGGTCCTTAGCCCTGCTGAGGTCCCAGTACTGTCCGTACGTCCTGCGCTTGAGGTCGATGCCGGCCACCACGCTGCACACCGCGTTGGCAGCGCCTAAGCTCTGGACCGCCTGCGAGAGCCTCCCGACCCCATCGAAGATCTCCACGAAGAGGGGAACGCCTCGCCGATCTTCAGGTCGAGCTCCTCGAGCGGACGGCAAGCTGCGACGAGCGCGATGACGCGGCTCGAAGGGAGGTCGGAGGGCCGTGGCGCGGCCGGCGCCACTGCCGCCGCCGCCAAGGCACCGTGCCGTACGGTCCCCTCGTCCAGCCGCCAGCCGGCCCGCGCCAGCCTGCTCGCCGCCGAGTGGTTCAGAACGCCCTTGTTGAGCTCCACGACACCCAGCACCCGCTTCGCCTCCAGCGTCTCGACTCTCTGCCGCTGGAAGTCCGCGCCCTCCTGGCGGTCGTACGCCGCTGTCCAGACCACCTGCAGCCGTCCGTCGACCGCCGCCTGGTACACGTGCACCGTCACGCTGCTCAGGTCCTCGGCCAGGCTCAGCACCTTGCCCACCCGGCAGCGCTTCGCCTCCTCGCCCTGGTAGGCGACGAGCCGCCCGACCTTCACCTCTCGCATCCGCGCCTTCACGCGCGGCGCCAGCGCCTCGGCGGCCTCGCCGCCTCCAGGGGCCAGCCGCGCTGCCAGAAGCTGTCCGGCAGAGGCCCTGCCACGGCCGTCGTCCTCCTCCAGCTTCACGATGCGCTCCGTGTCGTCCACCAAGCCCGGGACGCCGACCAAGAAATCCCCGTGGATGTCCTTGAGCACCTGCTGGGTCTCGGGGTCCCGCAACGTGGCCACGTTGCCCTTCGTGGAGAGGACCTCGAAGGGGCCGCGTAGGGGCCGGCGGCCTGGGGCGTGCCCGGCCACGGCCTTGGAGAGCTTCGGGTCCTTGAACAATACCATGTCCCCGACCTCCGGGCGCCTCGACGATCTCGTGCGATTCGCCAGCTCCGCTCTGCGTCGGCCGGCTCGAGCCCGATGCTGAAGATAAACCTCCCGCAAACGCCTGAACTGCTCGAACTGCGCTGCCGCGACGTCGGAGACTGCCTCACGAACGGCGGGCTCCAGCGGCAGCAGCTCCCTCTCCAGCGGCGAAGCCAACGACCAACCCATGCAGAGGTCCCTCGGCGACAGCGCCGATTTGCCGGGCGAGTTCCACAACACGAACTCGACGATCGGCAGAAGCTCGGCCCACTGGCCGGGGGCACACTTGAAAACGTCGTGCAGGAAGATGCCGATCTCCCTCGCACACTCGATGTGGGACCGCTCCGCGTCCGCCTGCTCGCAGGGCCTCCACGACGTGCCGAAGCGGCCTGCGAAGTTGAGGAGCGCCCAGAGCTCCTCCATGAGAGCGTTGCAGAACTCCTTGCCACGATCCGAACTAACCAGCATCGGCCAGGTCTTGGCCCGAGTCGCGCATCGAAAGAAGGCGCGCCGGACCTCGGAGTGCTGCAGGTGCTTGAGCGGCTCGAAAAGGGGGGCCCCCGTCGTCACGCAGATGTAGGTCAGCACATACGCGTGCCCGTCGACGTCGGGGGGAGTGATACGGCCCTCCACGTCGATGACCACATGATGAAAAGGAAGCCGGTGCCGTGCCACGATGAAGCTGGCCTGCACCTTCGTAGTCTGCTTCCTGAATCGGAGGCAGGCCCAGCAGCTAGCGCACCACTTCTCGATGTCCGCCGCGAGCCCCGGCCAAACCACCAGCCGCCGGGCGCACTCACGAGTGGCGACCACCGTCTTGTGACCCCCAGATGGACCAGCGTGAACGTGGAGGAAGACGAAGCGCCTCCACGATATACCCGAGCCCGGGCCGCCAGACGCAGGGAGGACAAGCAGCCAGCGCTGCTCCCCTGGGCCCACCGTCACGAACTGCTCGAGCGCGAAGTCTTCCCCGAGACGCTGCGCCTCGGGGGTGTCGCCGGCGCCAGACTCGGCGCGGAGCTGCATGCAGACGGCCCCGAGCTCCTCGTCCTTCCACTGGTCCCCGATGATGTGGGCACGAAGCGACTTGGACAGCTCGAACGGCTCGCTCCCCGCCTCAGGCTCACAGCCCCGCACCCTCGCGGCGTACTCCTCCCTGATGGCGATGTCGGCGTCCTCCAGCTTGCGCCCGTCCGCCACCTCCGCGTCGAAGGCCGCAGTGCCGCGCTCCGGGGCGCATGCCACGCGCCCGACGGAGCATGCCTGCTCAGACGCCGGCGCCCGCATGTTGGTGATCGCCCCGAGGACGTCCGGCACCTCGAAGGCCTCCCGCTCGCCGCGCGCGAAGTCGGAGTCCGCGAACTCGACGAAGGCTCCTGATGCCCGCCCGCCGAAGCGATCGCGGAGGGCCCGGTACCATGATAGCCCCAGGGCGCCCGCGAAGACCTCGGAGTAGGCGGAGGAGTAGGAGGACACCTTGATGATCGCACCGTTGCTGACGGCCGACCCCCTGCAGTGCCGATGCACGTGAGTAGCGCCCAGCGCGGGAAGGCGCGCACCGCCCTCCCACAGCAGCCAGGCGCAGGCGAAGAGCTGGACCAGCTCGGCGCCCTTCGGCAAGCCCGCCTGCAGCAGCTCCACGTCGATCTCCGTGACGAGCTCCAGCCCGAACTCCACGCACGGCTGCGCCAGCGCCACCTCCACGCCCGGCTCGGGCCCCTGTGGCACGACAAAGCACGACAACCGATAGGAGAAACCCCGCGCGGCCTCCAAGGCCACGACGCCCGCGGCCGGCGCTCGGCGGACCCGGATGCAGTTGCACGTGAAATCCGCTCGGCCGCCGCCAAACTCCAGGAGGTCCCGCACGAGCTCCGCCGACACGGCGATGCAGGGGCCAGGCCCGACGGCAACTGCCGGCTGCGGGCGGACCGCGCGCATGCGCGCCGCCGAGGCCGCCACGTCGACCGCGTCGGGCTGCCCGAACGCCTCCTCCGGCGCCTCAGCCAGCCGCGCCTCCTCCTCGAGCTCGCGGTCGGCCCTGATGCACTGGCCGCACCGCGCCAGCACCAGCGAACTCCGCCCGCACGCGCAGCGGCCGCCGCTGAACTCCAGCAGCCGCGGGGGGGCAGAGACCACCTCCTGCATGAGGACCTCGCCCAGCGTGGCCGACACCTTCACGCCCAGCGCCTCGCCGAGGTCCTGCCCGAAACGGCGGTGCGCCCCGGCGCCCTCCACCAAATAGAGGGGGGCCGGGCGCTCGTCGCCGTGGGCAGTCGCTCCGAACTCCGGAAACGCCTCTCGCACAAAGCCGATCCTGCTCGGGCTGTGGGCGCGCGGCCCGATCGCCACGAACGCCCTGACGTTCACCCACGCCTCCGCGACCTGCATGCCCTCCGCCTCTCTCGCGTACCGCAGCGCGAGAGCGGCCTCCACCACTCTGGGGTGGGCCGCTGCAGCCGCCACCAGCCCGCCGTGGCCCGTCCCGATCACGACCTTGGGCCACCGCGCGGCACACTCTCGCAAGACGGCGGCCACTGCGGTCAGCACGTCATTGCGAAGCTGCTTCCGCGCCTTACCACTCGCATCACCTGGGAAGCGAGGAGGCGCGATGTAGCACAGGCCGCCGGCACCGTCTGCCAGCGGAGGGTCGTGCGGGATCATGCGAAGCCGCAGGCCTGGCGCCGCCAGCTGCAGCTGTCGAGCTGCCCGCGCCTGCTCTGCGCTCCGCCGCCTCTCGCATCCGTAGTCCGGCAGGTACAGCGCGATGGAGTCGCCCTTCTCGCGCTCCGCCCCGGCCACGGCCACCAGCTGCAAGGCGGCCGCGTCGGGGGTCTCGTCAAGGCCCCACGGGACCCCCTCCCCCGGACGGTAGTCATCGCCGATGATGTCCTCGATCGTGATGTTCGCCAGGGAGTGAGCCTGCTCGCGCAGGAACTTGCCGTGGGCCTCGTTCTCTCGGGAGGGGCCATCACCAAGGGCCGCGCTCCGCCCCGAGAGATTCATCAGCCTGCTGCCGTCGCTCTCGATCTCGCCAACCCAGCGGATGACGGTGGAGTCCGTCTCGGCCTCGCCCGTAGCGTCCTTCACCGCTGCCGCGTGGTCCGTCCAGCACAGGGCGGGCAGCCGACCGAAATCCTTACGTGCCTCCCGCCTGGTCTCGCGCTGCGCATACAGCTCACCCCGGCGGGGGTGCCAATTGCTCTGCGCCAAGCTGAGGCAGCCGCCGTACATCGCCAGCACGTTGAGCGTGCGGCGGTCGGCGGCCAGCTGATACACGCTGCCACCCCAACCGTAGGGGCAAAAATCCGCGACCTGCTCGAGCGGGCGGTCCTTCGAGATCGCCCCGACCATGTCGATCACCGCGAGGCGGATGGCCTCGCACGCGAGCTGCTGGATGGCGCGCTGGGCCGCAACCTTCTCGGAGGTCATCGGCCACTCGGCGTCCTTCTTGAGCTGCTGCGTGAGGATCCCCAGCGGCTTCTGCACCTCCTTGGGGAAGTGGCCGCGGATCCAGTTGAACGTGCCGAGGAACCGCCGCAGCGCTGCCACGTCCTCGAGCACCGACCAGTTCTTGATAAGCTCCAGATGCCGCTCGCACGCCTCGCTGCCCTCGCGGCCCACGATCTCGCCGAGCGCCTCGATGGAGGGCTGAGCCAGCCTGTCGAGGGACTTCTCGGCACCCATGGAGTACCCGGCCGCGATGCACACGTCCAGCAGGCCCTCGACCGCCAAGAGATGCTCGAGGAGGGTGGTGGCCGCCTTCGGGTACTTCCGCTGCCAGTAGACCAGACGCTCGGCGTAGTACTCGTCCGTCGGCACCTCCAGCTCAACGATGTCCCGCAGCTCGTCCCAATCCTGCCACACGTGCGCCACTGACGGGTCGTCGCCGGCCGGCTCGCCGTCGGTCTGGATCACGGCGCCCACGATGTCGCCGACCTCGATGCTGACGCCGGGCTGGTCCCAGTTGCCGACCAGGACGAGCTGCTCCCGGCCGAGCCAAGGGCCGGGGGCGGCCCAGACGGCCGCCGCGCCATTCGCCACCACGTCGCCGACGATACCCGCTGCGAAGCCGCTAGCGCGGGCTGGCACCAGAGCGCAGTCGCCGAGCTCCAGCCGCACGCCCTCCTCGCCGCTCAGGTAGATGGGGACGGCGGACTCCGAGTCGTCGAGCACGATCACGCCTGTGTCGCCGCCGCCGAACTCCGCGGGGCACTGGCCGCCGACCATGCAGATGGGGTAGCTCGGGCAGGCCGCGCCGGACCACACCAGGGATCCTACCGCGCTGGCAGCCCGACGATCCTCACCTCGACGCTTATCGGCATCGCACTCTGAGAACACCGCCGAGATGGTCAACAGCTTCGCTTGCACCGCGTCGGCCTCCGCACGCTTGACCGTGATGCCCAGCCCCGGCAAGTAGTGGCCCTGTAGCGTAGGCCGGTGCCCGATCCCCAGAGGGGGTGCATCGAGCGCTGGGGCCCCAAGAATGATAAGAAACGGCCTGTCCCAACCCCCGCGCAGAAGCCGAAGGCGAAACACACGCACCACTCGCGTACCATCCAGCCCCTCGAAGGCCAGGCGCAGGTCCACCATGCCACGAATCTTCAGGTCGCCCTTGTCCGCCACCGACGAGGCCTTCGAGTCCCGGCCCCAGTGCATCAGGCCCGCGATCGGCCAGTCGGGGTCCTCAGGAGACTTGCCCTCCGCGATCGCGCTGTTGATGATGCTGACGATCGTCGCCTCCCACGTCAGGGAGAACACCGCCCCGCCATCAAGGAGCGTCCTGATGCTGAGGCCGTAGACATGCGTGTGGCACAAGTAGTGGTACCCGTCGTCGGGCTCCTGCACCTGCGTCCAGGCGCTGGCGGGGATCTGGTCCAGGTCCTTCAGCGCTCCTTCGGGCGAGGGCGAGCCCCTGACGACGCTCACCTGCGGGAGGTCGTAGCTCGGGCCGAAGACGCCGCCGCAGGGTCGCACCCATTCGAGCTTGCCCCCCGCCGCAGCTTGCACCTTCGGCGCCGCGCCAGAGGCTGCGGGCCGCGCCGCCTCCTCGGCCGCAGGCGCTGCTCCCTGGCCGCTGCCGGGGGAGCCCGCGCTGCCGAGGCTTGGCGGCGGCGCCTTAGCTGCGGCCGCGCCAGCGTAGACCGCTGCAACGACCTTCTGAGCTGCCTTACCCGAGTGGCTGAACTTGCAGTCCTTCTCGCTCTTGCTGCACGCACCCCGGAGGAACTGCAGGCAGAGCTGCGACTTGAGGCCGCCCTTGCCGCCGTCGTCCGAGCCCTTGCCCTTCTTGCCGTCCGCGCCCTTGCCCTTCGGCCCGGCAGCGTCCTTCTTGGTCCTCCGCGACTCGGCGATGGCAGCCCGGTCGTGCGAGAACCTGCAGGCGTCGCCACGCGCGCACGTGCCGCTGTCCCTCATCTGGAAGCAGACCTTCACAGCACCCTCAGCGCCGGCGCCGCCGGAGCCGCCAACAGCGCCGACCTCGGGCGGCTCCTGATCGCCGCCACCGCCACCGCGCCGACGCCGGCCACCGCCGCCGCCCGGGCTGGGCGCGAAGTCCGAGCCCACAGCCGCGACGAGCGCCTTGGCCGAGCTCTCGGCCTCCTCCAGCTTCAGCAGCACGCGATGGGCCTCCCTCCAGGTCTCGACGCCGCGGACCTCGGGCTGGGCGCCAGAGCGCTGATACACTCGGCGATCCTTGAGCACCTCTGCACGGTGCGAGGGAGGGATGAGCGCCAGGTAGCTGAGCAGCAGGTCGCGATCGGACTTGCCCATCCCAGCCAGCTCCATCTCCGCCACGATGTTCTCGAACGTCGCCTGAAACTCCAGCGCGCTCATCTTGCCGCGGGAGAGCGTCCTCCACTCGGCGTTGAGCCGCTGCTGCTTCTCCAGCAAGCCCTCCTTGAACTCCATCAGCCGCTCCTTCAGGCTCTGGTACACCTCGTCGGGATCCGCCGACAGCCTGCCTGACCGGCGAGCCTGCTGCAGCTCGACCTTGTAAGCCCGCTGACGCGAGCCTTTCAGGCAGGTCCCCAGCACACGCACCATCTCCGTCGCCGACATCCCCGCACCGTCGTTGGCCAGCCCGACCATCTCCTCGAACTCCTCCACGAACGAGTCCACGTCGAAGTCGCCGTCGCCGAGCGTCGGCAGACTGTAGTGCGGCTTCACCTGGATCGTGGACGACTTCTTGTCGGCCCGCTGGCCGAGCGCCCCCGCGAGGCCCTGCAGCGCTGCCGCCAAGCTGGGCCCCGCCGGGCCCGCCTCGGTCGGCCCGCCCCGCGGGGGAAGCCCCGGCGGCAGGTCCTCGCCGAAGGCGGGGAAGGCGGGTGGCCCCGCGGGCGCCACGCCGACGCCGGCGGGCCCGGCGGGCGGGGCTCGGTCCTGCGGGGGCCGCGCCGGCGCCCCGCCGGCCACGGCGTCGCGAGCGCTGCCGCCGCCGCGCACCACCGCGAGGAGGTCCATCAGCGCCCGCACGTCCTCGTCGGCGTCGTCCGTCTCGACGTCCAGGACGGCGTGCAGCTTCGCCTCCAGCGCGGCCGCCACGCCCTCGCCGTGGGCCCGCGCCTCCACCAGGAAGCGGGCCTTCCTCATGCCGAACTCGACCGCGCCCTCCGGCACCGCCTGCCGCCGCAGCGTCAGCACAGCCCGCGCGCGCAGCAGGCGCCGCTCGAAGTCGCGCATCGACTCGTGCGGCTCCACGTCCTTGAGCAGCCGCTCCAGGACCTCGTCGTCCGTGAGCGGCCCCCAGCTGCCGTCCGACAGGGCTCCAGTGGCGTCGGAGCCCGCGTCGGACGCGCGCGCCGGCGAGTCCAGCAGCCGCAGGACGTCGTCGGCCGCCGGCGGCTGCGCAGCCGCTGGCGTCGCGGGGCTGCGCGCCGCGGCGGGGCCCTGCTGGCGCAGCCGCGCCTGCCAGTCCTGGCCGTGCAGCGCCTCCATGGTGCTCCGCCACAACGCGCTCTCGCTGGCCGCGATCGCGGGCGCAGTGCGAAGCCGGCGACCTGGGCCGGCGCGCCACTGCACCCAGGCGCCGAAGGCCAGCAGCGGCGGCTGCGCCACGGCACCGTCGGCGATCGCCTCCAGCAGCGAGCCCTCGAAGCCGGCGACCTCCACGCCAGCGCCGGCCGCCGCCGCTGCTGGGGCTGCGGCCGCCTGCGCCGACGGCGCGCCAGCCTCCGCGCCCGCCTCGGCGTCGCCCGCGTCGGCGTCGCCCAGCTCCGCGCGAGGCGCGCGCTGGGGCGACGCCATCGCCCGGGCCCGGGCCCGCTCGGGAAACGAGTTCCCGGAGCAGCCCCCACGTGAGGCTCACCTTGAGCCTTGAGCCCCTCAGGGCCTCGAGAGCGGCCTCCAGGTGCCGCCCTCGGGCCCTATGGGCCCTCGCGGGCCCTCGGACCCCGGGTGGGCCCCCCCGCGCCTCCCCCGCGCCTCTGAGGAGAGGGAGGAGGGGGGCCTTTCTCCTTGAGCCACGCGGCAGCGCGGGGCAAGCAGCCGTCGCCACCGGGGCCGTCGTCGCCGGCCCGCACTCCGCCGCCTGTGCGCCCATGCCGCTCCTCACGTAGTCGTAGTCGTAGTAGTAGTCGTAGTAGTAGTAGTAGTAGTAGTAGTAGTAGTAGTAGTAGTAGTTGTAGTCGTAGTCGTAGTCGTAGTCGTAGTCGTAGTAGTAGTAGTAGTAGTAGTAGTAGTAGTAGTAGTAGTAGTAGTAGTAGTAGTAGTAGCAGTAGTCGTAGTAGTATTGTATTAGTAGTGGTCGTATTAGTAGTCGTAGTCGTAGTAGTAGTAGTAGTAGTAGTCGTATAGTAATAGTAAGTAGTAGTTAGTAATAGTAGTAGTAGTAGTCGTAGTCGTAGTAATAGTTAGTAGTAGTTGTAGTAGTAGTAGTAGTAGTAGGCGTAGGTCGTAGGTGCGTAGGTCGTAGGTGGTAGGTCGTAGTCGAAGTCGTAGTCGTACCCGTTAGTAGTAGTGTAGTGTAGTAGTTAGTAGTAGTAGTAGTAGTAGTAGTAGTAGTAGTGTAGTCTAGTCGTGTTCGTAGTCGTAGTCGTAGTTCGGTAGTCGTAGTCGTAGGTCGTAATCGTAGTAGTAGTAGAGTAGTTAGTAGTAGTAGTAGGTAGTAGTAGTTTAATGTAGTAGTAGTAGTTATTTGTGCGTAGTAGAAGTAGTAGTAGTAATTGGTAGTAGTAGCAGTAGTAGTAGTAGTAGTAGTAGAGTAAGTAGTAATAGTATTAGTAGTAGTAGACACAGTATTAGTATTAGGTCGTAGTAGTAGTAGTAGTAGTAGTAGTAGTTAAGTAGTAGTAGTAGTCGTATAGTAGTAGTGTAGTAGTAGTAGTAGCAGTAGTAGTAATAGTAGTATAGTAGTAGTTAATAGTGTAGTAGTAGTAGTAGTAGGACAAGTAGGGAGAGGAGTAGGAGTAGGGGAGTAGGAGTAGGAGTAGGAGTAGGAGTAGGAGTAGGAGTAGTAGATATTAGCAGTAGTATTAGAGTAGTATAGTTCGTAGTAGTAGTAGCAGTAGTAGAGTAGTAGTAGTAGTAGTAGTAGTAGTAGTGTAGTCGTAGGAGTAGTAGTAGTGGTAGTAGTAGTAGTAGTAGTAGTAGTAGTAGTAGTAGTAGTAGTAGGAGTAGGAGTAGGAGTAGGAGTAGGAGTAGGAGTAGGAGTAGGAGTAGGAGTAGGAGTACGACCTGTAACAGTACCAGTAGTGGTAGTAGTAGCGCTTTCGGGGTCTTCTGGGGGGCAGTTGGGGGGCATATGGGGCCCTCGGAGCCTCTTGAAGCCTCTTGGGGGCCAGTTGGGGTCGCATTGTGGGGTCCCCCGTCGGGGCGCCTTCTTGGAGCCGTCTTGGTGGCCTCTTCGGCCATATTCGCAGCCTCTTGGGCTGTCTGGGGGCGTCTTGGGTAGTTTTGGAGCTCTCTTGGAGGCCTCTTGGGCTGTCTCCTCGCGTCGGGAAGCCGAAAAGGCGAGAACACCAAACACCAAAATCTCAGGAACATCCATGAATTGTCCCTTTTTCGGGCTCAGTGGGAATAGTCTTGGAGGCTCTTGGGGCGACTTGGAGGCCTCATGGGCCGTGTGGAGGCTATTGTTGACGTCTTGAACCGATCGTTCAGCGATTCGGGGCCCACTTGGGCCATGTTGAGGGGCTCTTGGGCCACTCCTGGCTCGTCTGAGGGCTCGCGTTGGCCCCGTGACCCCCCCCGAAGGAGATGGCATCTGGCCCGGCCCCCTCCCCCCCCCCCCGCCCCTCCTGGAGACCTCCCCTGTCGGGGGAGTCGGGGGAGGGGATCAGAGGGAAGGGGCCCCCCTTCGACTCAATTGCGACGTTGCTCAACTTGAGTTTGGAGACGGCGACGGTTCAAGGTGGGGGGCGGCGACGGCCGCGAGGCAATGACGACGACGACGGGGGGGGCAGCGAGGGGGGCAACAACCACGGCGAACCGCGCCGGGGCGGGAGCAGCGAGGGAGGCAACAACCACGACGAACAGCCCATTCCACGCGCCGACGGGGTCGGCGGATTCTATTCAACGCGGTGATCGCATGGGCCTCATATTTCATGCGCGACCTTACTGGTCAAGAGATATGCTAGCTTCGCACTGGATGGTCGCATTCCACTGTCAGGGCTGCGCTATGCTATGAACGCGTTGGTGACGAGATTCCGAGCGCCAGGCCGACCTGAAATATGGGGGGGTGTCAGCGTCTTCATTCTGGCTCACCGCGCAAAGGGTAGGCTGGAATGTGTTCAGCCCAATGGACCTCGAGGGCGACTTCGGGAACGCTCACTCGCTGGTCCAGGTGGCGCCCCATGATGCGGGGGGCAGTCTGGCCCAGTCCATCTGGCGAGTCTTGAAAACACGTCAACACCGGCCTGCAAGGATGTGTGGCGAGCATGGCGCAGTGCCGCGCGGAAGGCAGCGCGCAAGACGCCGCGCCGAGCACAACGAGGTGCTTTGCGTCTATTGTGGTATGGGGGCCTTCTTCCTGCGGACAGGGCCTATGACTTGGTGTTGGCGTATGTTTCAGGGGCATTCATTGTGGAGATCTCACGGGTACCTTCGCCAATCAGTGGAACTGCTGTGAGAAGCTGCTTGGAGTCTAGGAGTTGGTGCCTGAGCCCATCCCAGAGGACGCGGTCAAGCCCGGGGGATTCGATTTCACGCGTGGCCTGCGGAGGGAGCTGCTGCCGCCGAGGCAGCCAGACGCTAGCGTGGACGTGCTCGAGTGAGGCGACGCCGGGGGGCGGGCGGGGCCCCGTGGTCTACGCGGACGCCTCGGGATTGCGGGGCGTTCATTCTGCGCCCTCTAGGGCGGGCTGTGCTGCCTCCCAGTTGCGCACCGTCGGGGTGGCCTGTGCCCTAGACGGCGGGCTTCATGGCATCGATCAGTTTAGTGTCGATGGGGCGAGTGATATGCGGGGCTCGTGGCTCCCAAAGTTATAGGGGCGCCTGGCCTGGTCGTGTCTGACCACCTCAGAATCGTCGAGGAGGCATGGGCGTTGGCATTTCGCTTGCGCCAGTCGTCGAAGCACGCATCGATGCGGGGATCTATATTCCAAGAGTGCTGTCAGGACGTTGAGGGTGTTCAGTCTGAGTGTGCCCCTGCCAACAAGGAGGCCTACAAGTACGCTGCGAGCAGGGGCAGTCTGCCACCCTCCGAGGGACATGCGCGGGGGCATGTGTTGCATTTGTGGGGCGGTTGATGTGAAGGTGGCAGGTGCGTTGGCAGACAACCATCAGGGCCTGCTAAGGATCGCCACAGCCAATGCGCGCCACCTCGCGCTCCTGGCCCGGGGGGCGGCGCGCGTGCGTCGCGAGGCGGGGCCGGACCCGCCGCCGCCGAAAAAAAATTGCGCGGCCCACAGCTCATGATCACAGATCATGGTCTCATGCATGTGAGTGAGGCCATTGCTCGTTGCAAGAATTGTCTTCGCGAGGCTCAGGCGCCTGAAGGGCATCGTGCCCTTTTTCCCCCGCCGCGCCCTGGACCGCCGGTCCTTGGGGTCGGGCGCTATGTTGGTCCCTGGGGCCCCGCGGGCGTGAGTTGCGCGTCCACTGCAGCTTGCACATTGGCAAGTATGTGAAGAAGCTTAGGCTGGACTGCCTGGGGCCTCCCCAGCATCGCCACACGCTTTCTAATATCAGGTATCCTGAGCAGCGTTTGCAGCCTGGCTTCGCGCCCAAGAGTGGAGACACGATCCCGTAAGTCCAACACTCAATTTATCTTTCGGTGTTTTTGTTCCCGTTCTTGGCTGACGCCTCGCCGTCCTTTGTCTATAGACAGGGTCTGGGTGTCCTGGCCTGTCTTGCTTGATCGGCCTCTGGTTTGATGTTCCGGCGCCCTGGATTATTTTAAAGCGCCGTCAATTCGGCCCCCTCCCGCTCCTGTGGGTTTAGTTAAAGTTGCTGGGCCTGGACCCCCTGCTCCTTCCCCATCTCACGTTCACTCCTCCTCTCCGTGCTGCTGCTCCCCTCCCTGTGTTTGATCCCTTTTCATCCCTTCCCTTCCCTCCTTTCTTCCCGCCCCTCCGTGTCTTTCTTCCGCCTCCCCCTCTTGTGCTCGTCCTGCTCCTGCCTCTTCTCATCTCTTACGAGGGCACGTAGGAGGAGGGAGACGAGGGCTGGAACTTGTGCAGGGAGGGGGGGCTGCGAGTTGCGAGGGCATGCGGGACGGACGGCACGAGGGGAGTGATGGGACGCTTGTGTCACCTGCGCCCCAGAGGGCAGGGCGTAATCCGCTCCCCCCATCTCCGCCAACCTGGTGCCGGTGACTCACGCGCGGACAATCCGCGGCGGAAGAGGAAGGGAAGAGGGAATCAAGATGGGGGGAAGAGCTGGAAGGGGTGTGGGTTGCGGAGGCGTGGCGACAACGGAGGGGGCGGGCAGGGCGGACGGCCAGGCGGGGATGGCGCGGCGGCAGAGGAGGGGAGGAGGGGAGGGCGTGAGGGAAGGGGCGGAGGAGAGGGTCCAGAGGAAGCCGGAGAGCGGCCCCGGGAGCGCGCCGCGGGCGGCGCCCCCGCGCTGCCTGGGGGGGGGGGGGGGTCCCTCCGGCGCCACGTCCTTTTTGGTTTTGCTGGGGAACGAGCTCTTTCTGTTTCGGCGGGCTCCTGGGGGTCGGAGGCGGGCTTCCCGAAATGGCGAAAAGCAGGGAGAGGAGCACAAGGTGTCAACTGCTAGTGGAGGGCAAGATCGCGATGTCGGAGGCCGGGAAGGCAGGCTTATGATGAGCCAGAGGAGCACGGAGCATGGAGGATGGGAGGAGGATGAGGGGGGCCGTGATATTTGGAATCGAAGGTGTGGGGGGGGTGCGAGCCGGGTCGGAAGGGCAGGTAGGGGGGGGAGGGCGTAAAAAGGGCGTGGCAGGGCACGAGGCGGGCAGGTGAGGAGGAGGAGGAGGAGGGCAGGCAGGCGGGGAGGTGCCTCTATGACGGGAGGGTGCAAGAAACGATCAGAGACGGCGGCACGCCTCCCTTGCCCCCAGACCCCGTTCGCTTCGTAACAACATAGTGGCAGGAGGTTTTGGCAAGTTTTTTGGCACCCCGGGCCGTGAACAGAACGACTCGGGATAAAAGGCGGTCCCTTGTAAGAGATGGTGGCCCCTGCCCCCTATAAGGGTTAGTGGCCCCTGGGGGCTCATTTGACGTCGCGCACCAGCGGGTGGCGCGAGGCGGGGAAGCTTCTTAGAAGGCAGAGGCCTTTTCAGCAGCGTTTTTTGGGAAGGAAGGGCTTCTAAGACACCACCAGTTTAATGTCCCCGCGTGGTTTCGGGCATCGGTTCTCTTCGGTCGGTCCCTCCGCCGCTCGTGTCTGCTGTGGCCCTCGCCGCGTTTCGGTTTGGGGTCCTCGTCGGTCCACTTTGTCGTTGTGCGACTCTGCCTGGGAGTCAGCGCTTGACTCTAACCCACGTCCAAAACAACAATCGAAGAAGCTTCGTCATCTCAGAAGCCCCTTCGCCTTCTCAGCAGGCCGCCCCCCTCGCGCCACCCCTCTGAGGTGCGCCGTCAGGTCCACGTCGCGAAACAGTCTGTCGCCGTGCCGCTTGCTCCGACGCGCGGCCTTCCGTCTTGGGGAGGGCGCCGCGGCCACCAGGGCGAACGCCGCCTCGGGCGCGGTGGGCTTGCCGTGTGCTTTGCCGCGGCGCCGGCTGCGTTTCCTTGGCGCGCGGGACGCAGAGCTTGCCGTGGGTTTGCTGTGGTGTCGTCGTCGTCCATTTGGGCGCGTCGAGAACTAGCGGCGCGGCGACATATGACTTGGGCGGTCTGAGCCCCTCCCCTTCGGAGGCACGGTGGCTTGAGGAGATCGTGGGGAACGACAAGACGCCGTGGGACGCGGACCTTCTCCGCAAGCACGAGCCGCGCTTCATGGCCGCGGCGAGGGCGCCTCCGGCCACATCTTCGCGGGCATGGGGCCTCCTCAGAGGCAACGCTGGGGAGGGATAGGCTCAGGGGGGGGCGCATCGACTCCCAATCGTCCATTGATCGACGACAGGGGCCCGGTAGGCCCACCCTGCCCTGGAACGTGCGCATTTGCTCTGGGGGGCTTTCGCCGATCTATCGGCGATGTGCCGCCGATTCTAGGTCGATGTCTCACCCCCCTGAGCCGGTTCCCCCTTCACGTTGCCCCTCACCTCCGCTGGCCGCTTGAGAGCCAGAAAGACCGACCCGGGCCTCTTGAGGAGGTGGTCTGCTCCACCCTGGCGGTCTCCCCCCCGCTTTGGTCTCGGAGGGCCGCTGTTGGGCCGGGGCCGTCTAACGAAAACGGGTTCGGGACAGAAAAGCTGTTTCTTCCAGTGCCCACAACGTGGAACCCTGGAGGTCTCGACCCCTTCGCCGGGAACGGTTTTCCCTCCCGAGTCGCTTTGTCGACGACCCCCATGGGCCTGGTCAGGGAGCCTCTGGAGGCAGAAGGCAGTAACAAAACCTCGCGTCCTGCTTTTTGTTCACGACGCGAAGGAGGGACTGGTCAGTTCCGCGTCGTGCCACTGCCTAGACATCCGGCGCTATGCTGTTCGGAATGCGGGTTTCCCAGAATTCCCGAACTCTCCCTCAGGGGGACACTTGTTCATTCCGGCTGCTTTTTGTTGACAACCCCCGCGGGACCGGAATTCCGAGGCTGGGATTTATCCATAGCCACCGCCTTGGGGATGCCATTATGACCCAATATTGTCGCATTCTTTATACATGAGAAGATAGGAGGCAGCTTATTGCAAAACTGACTTCCCGCTGGAATTGCGGACCCGCGCGCTGTGCGCAGTGTCCAGACTCCGAGGCTGATTTTTCTTCCGAACTAGCAGCTCAGCGGGGACCATACAAAGGAAGAGCGGCATCCGGGAAGCGCCGACCTCGATCTCCGATCAGACTTGTCCTAGGAACGTGTAGGAGATGAAACTCAGAGGTCCGTATACGTCTCGCTCAAGCCTTGTTCTCTCCAGGAGCACCTGAAACGCATGCGCCCTTCAGCCCTCCAGCGGCCATCGTGGTTGCTGGTCTGCGTCTGGTGTGCTCTGGACGCGTGGCAGCCTGGGCTGTTGCGCACGGGCGGCGGAGGCGGCCCCCCCGACGACTGGGACCGTCGGGTTCCCTTCGCTGCCCAGCAGGCCGCGGAGCGCGAGGCTGAGTTCGCCGCGGCACACGGGGCAACCTCACCGAGTGCTACTCAAGGCTGGGCCGGCTGCAGATCGCGCTGGCCAACCTGTCGGCGGAGCTGGTCGAGCTCCGCGACTTCAGGACTGTGCAGCCCACGGAGCCCAACGCGTTCCTCTGGCACGCTCTCGGGGTGGTGCTGACCGCAGCCTTGACGCAGTGCGCTACCTGCTTCGCCGCCTTCCGACATCGTCATGGCCCTGCTGCCCGCGGACCTGAGGCTTCTGTAGAGCGACGGGAGCGTCGCCGCGGCGGAGGCGTTTTTTCGTGAATTGGTACCGGGGAGGGTTGTGTGTTTCTACTACGATGACGACCCGAACATATGGCACGAACGGCTGCTCCTGTGGCCATCAGTGGAGGCCTTCCCCAATACGTGTTGGACGTGCCTCACGCCGGACGGCGACGTGTACCCCGAAGACATGGCATTTGGTCCCGATGGGGACGGGCCTAGCCGTGTGTCTCTGACGATGGGGACGACACCAGTGGCTCTTCGGCCTCCTGGACGTGTCTATAGGTTTCGCGGCCTCCCCGCCGAAGATGATATGATTCAGTTATTTCGGGATGCGCGTGCTGCTGCCCGCGCCGCGAGCCTCGTCCACTCCGAGCCGACCGTCTTCATGCGCGGCGGCGACCAGCCCTCCACCAGCATGACGGTCCGCTTCTCCGACGTGCCAGGGTTTGTCCGCCGCGCGTCGCAGAAGGGCCCGTCCGTGGCCGCGCCCTCAGGCACACCCAGCGCCCAGCCCGCGGGCCCAGCGCTGGGCCCCCCCGCCCACTTCGGCGGCACCGACGCCGAGGGAGAAACGCTCGCCGACGGCGAGGTGGGGGGCGCGGAGACCCCGAGGGGCGGCCCTGGCCCGACGGTGCTCGCTCACGAGAGCGCCGCCCTTCCAGGGTCCGCCTGGTTCGCTACGAAGACGATCCTGAACGAGCGCCAGCAGCTGGGCGAGGTCGCCCCGAAGGCCGGCGACGTAGTCTAGGGCGAGAGCGGGCTCCACCGCACGGCGGGCGGCTTCGTCGAGCCGATCGAGCTCCACCCCGCCCCGCTGCCCGCCGACGTGCTGGACAAGCTGGGCGACGACGATGCTCGCATTCTCGGCCCTCTCCAGCGGGCGCGGGAGGGCCGCGGGCACCGCGACTTCCGCGAGGCCGCGACGGCCATGCGGCAGGAGAAGCACGACGACTTCCCGCTCGTAGGCGGGCGCAGTTTCAAGTGGATGTGCGAGTGCATCGTGGACCGCGGTGGCACGCCCGACGGCCGGCACGCCAAGTGGATGATGGAGAGCGGCTGCACCGGGGACTCGGCGGCCGCCCACCTCCACGACCTCCTCGGCTTCTTGATCGAGCTCGGGGTCACCTGCGATCAGGCGGGCGGCTCGAACCTTGCCTGCGTGGAGGTGGCGTCGAGGGCCCACCAGCTGATCGAGGAGACCATGGGGGCATGCAGATTGAGGGCGTCGAGCGCTACATTGGCCGCCAGAAGCAGAGCGCCCGCCGCGGCGTCGCAATGGCGCCTGGCGTCGCCAAGTACGCCGCCGACCAGCTGGCCAGGGAGACGGAGATCCAGAAGCAGCGTCGCAAGGCGCGCGAGGAGAAGACCGCCCAGTCGGGCAAGAAGAATCAGGGGCATCCTGGGGACGGCGGTCGGGGGGTGGCTCGTCC